GTACGCAATGGCGACAGGGAGATTGGATCTTGACGAGGAACAACGAAGATTGGGACAATCACAGTAGCGGAACTCCACTAACACTACACAGCCTCAGCCAGCAGATCCCGCTTTAGCTGCTGAAGATAGGACGCTGAACACTTGGAGAACGCAGCCTCCAAGTCGATCTGCTAAACTAAGTCAGGAGGCAACAGGTGGCGTGAGAAAAGGGGAGAGAGTAGAGGGCTTGTACGAGTTGATGGTTGAACGTCAAGGAATTGGATGTAGTTAGCGTGCCAAGGCCCTTTAGGCTTCGCGCCTCCGGGCGAAATAAATTCCATCCATCCATCCATCCGTCACCCAGGCACACAATGCACTATAAAAGTGGATTGCAGCCGGATATTCATCCAACATTCTCACCATCTCACCCTCCGATGTCTTCCTCTTCCCCACAGGCATGACCGCCATCACCGAAGTAGCCGACGCAATCAAGTCTCTCCGCCAACAGACTCCGGATAACCCCTACCGCGTAGCAGTCTTGGGATCAGTCACCCTCCACCCACCTCTCCTTCCCCCAGCTCCAGCTTCTAACGCTAACCACTTAATGACGCACAAACACAACTTCCTTTACGTCGGCACATTCAAAGTCCTACACTGCGTCCTAGGCCTTCTACCAACTCTTTACAAATAGTAGCCCACCTGCACGCGCTCGCGCGGCGCCACGGCGCCGTCCTCGTCATCGACGACATAGTCGGCACCTACGCCTCGCTCCGCCTGCTCCAGTCATGCGACGTGGCCGCCACCAACCTAACCAAGATGTTCAGCGGCGGGTGCAACGTCATGGGCGGGAGCGTCATTCGGTTCGGTTTGCGAGTCCGGCGAGGGCGGTGACGTTTTATGATGCGCTGAATGTTGCCAAGGGCCCGAGCTTGGAGACGGATTTTACTTTTTGCAGCGCGTGTACTATGTTAGCGCACTCCAGGGAGTTGGAGCGGGCGGCGGTGTATGTCGTGGTGGAGGAATTGGCGAGGATTAGCGTGGGCTTGGAGGAGGGGGACTGGTTGGTGGAGAGGGTGCGGAGGGCGCTGAGGGCTGCTGAGAGTGTAATGGAAGTAGAGGGGAGAGCTGGGTAATGGACTGACTATGATTTTTATGGAAGCGGGCGATATGAGAGGTGTACGTTTGCCATGGCAGGCATCCCACATCCACTCTGGAGTTTCCTGCCACATACTCGCTTCCAATCTTCAACAGCTCGTGTCTGTAGGAGATAACAGGACTGGAAACAATCTGTCTTCGTTGCGTGTTACCTTCGTCATGCTTGTCCTGCACCAGGGAGGATACGCCGGGCTATCACGGGCAAATGGAATCCCAATGAAATCAACTGGGGATGAGAGAATATTAATAAGCGGCTGAATCAAACGAGCGGCTGCCTAGTAGTGTAGCTTGGATAACAGCAGTTTGCGTGTTGAACGCTATGCCGTTTTGCGTGTTGAACGCCAGTTTTGCCGTGCAGGGGACATTCCCCCTTTCCATGGTTGTTTTGATGAGCGATACCCAGCCCTATTACCGCTCTTAGAACCCCCCCCCCCTTTGCGCAGGTAAGCCGTTTACTTGCAGCACTTCGTCTTGTAGCCCGTGAAGCAGCAAGCGCCGTCACCACATCCATCGACCTGGACCTGGTGATAGCCCTCCGGGCAGCTTCCCGCGCAGAAAGGAGATGTTCCGCTCCAGAAGCACGTGGACCAGGTCTGCCTGGCCAAGAGCGACAGGGCTGGGTCTGGCGAGGGCCTCAAAGCTTCAAAGAAGACTCTGGCAGCTAGAGAACCAAGTCAACAACTTTTTCAGTAACATTTCAAGAGGAGTATAGTGAGCGGGCGGCGTACCAGCTACCTGCTCGGCCTCGACTTGATGGTTGTGCTCGGCCAGAGCGGCGGCATCAGCGGCGGCACTAGCATCTAAAGATAAGTCAGCGGGGTTTATTCTATAAGTGGCTCGAGGGATCATGATAATGTGGGCGGCGTACCGACTGCTGCCGCTGCGGCGACAGAGACGAGGGCAGCAATGATGTAGATGTACGAACGCATGTTGACGGTTAGGCTTGAAGAATGGGCGATGCTGTTTGAACTTTTTCAGTTTGCAAGGCTGGAATGTGCTGGATGTTGGATGCTTCTCCACAACAGGTGATGGACTGTCAGGCAACAATGGACGTCTATATAGTATTTCGACTGGGAGAGTTTCTCAGAGCGAAATGTCAAATCCACTTGGACACCAACGATCTTTCCTCTCGGAGCAACGTGTCCAATCCCCCGAGCTAGTCCTCGTACCAAGATGTCTGATGCACCGAGCTGCCCTAGTTCCTGGTATTCAGTCGGAGACCGAGGCGTGACTAAGACTTGAAGCCCGAGACTTGACTCAACGCGAAACTTGAAACCACCCGAGAATTGAAACCACCCGAGAATTGAAACCACCCGAGAATTGAAACCACCCGAGTCCCGAAACCTGGCTTGAAGCTCGAGACCTGAACACTGGTTCCGTCCATGGAGTTTGTGTTACAAGTGGCTTGTGTCACCTACGGCTTTGACAGGCATGACCGTAAGGCCTGTCACCAAATACCGCTGATAAGTATAGTGCCCAAGCTACCTGTAGTGGCGGCACATGTTTTCACTGTTCCTTGCTTGGAAAATAATGGCTAAGGTACCTGATCAGTAAGCACCTTGAGACGGGAAGTACGTCGGCGCAGTTGCAAGTCGACTCCAACCTTGCTCCGTTGATTGCTAATAATTCGAATAGCAGTGGCATGTCTCAGCCTCGTCATCGTCGTCGCGGGGTAAGCAGATATCTACTCGTATATCTTAGGTACCTTGGGTGCCTTAGGTAAGCGGCCGTAGGATTCTAGGTCGCTTAAGTAGTAGGTAGGCGTTCTCGTCACGTAAGGTAGGTGTGATCAACCTCCACTAATGACAGGCTGATCCAAGGATTTTGGCTCTCAGGAAGGGAAAAGCCGATCAGACTGGTGAAACCGGGCCGATTTCCCGGACGACAAAAGTGCAGAAAACTCAAAGGCAGGGTCTTGTACTAGGGCTAAGCGTAGTTATGCTACCCCCTGAACCTTACCAGGTGGCCTACCTAGCAGCGTCTCGGATTTATCAGTGCTTCAGCACAATCCATCAGCTGTAACCATATGCTTGTGAACCGAGATGGTAATGGTCCTGACTCACGTTTCGTTCGCCAAGTGCTTGATACCTACCAACCAAGTCGACGTGGCGCGCGGCCATGCATGCTTCTCCGCAGTCGGCTGTGTAGTTCAGTTGTTGGTATCCATTCCGCCAGCGGTGAGACCGCACTAGACTCGAAGCAAGCCAGCATTATATGGGAACGCGTCACACCCTCGCCGCCTTGGAGGAAGTTCACGTTCGTCTAGGTAGTTGGCATTCTCATCCCATTCGCATACGATGTTTCGGGGTCACTACGATGATCGACGTGATTCGTGATGGACAACGGCTTGGACTCTCTGCTGAACTGTATATCAGTATATCATTATCTGTGACAAGAATGTTGTACCATATCGTCTCCCTGCTAACTTGACATCTGGAAGGACAACAATGTCGCTTGGCCAGTAACGGTGGGGCGAGGTGCTCACTGTCTTGAATCTTGATCTCCAGCTCCTACCCTCAGTCACTAGTATCTAACTGAACCCGAAGTCTGGAGATCGAACCCGTCATCCACATCTCAGCGTGCACAGATATTCCGTTCGGCAACCGATGGCATACCAGGTGAAACTTGAAAGCTTGGACACAGCCGTCCCAAGGGCCCCACCCACGACCGAGACCATTTGAAAGAGCGCCTCATTGTTGTGACGCTCTAGGGTCCCAGTTTGCGCACGCAATACCTTGGTAGGTAACCTAGTGAGTTCAGGGGATAAGGGGAGTGGCAAGGGCGTCGGCTTCAATCCCACTGATAGATCCGTTGATATTGGCCGTGAACATGATATCTTAGAAGCAATAGCAGCCGCACTCACATACCAGGGACCCAGAAACATACGGGCTCTAAGGCTAGCCGTCAAGACTCGGGATTCCAGAGCTCCAGCAATCCCACCATCGTCTGCAAATCCTGCGAGATATCCTCCAGTAATAGCAAAGACGCACCAGCGAGACAGTCGCGTGCAAATGTACCCATGAAGTTCTTGCGCTCCTCGATGAGGACAGCCAGCCTGTGGAATCGTTCCTGCAACAACCGTCCTAGAAACCACAGTCGCGCGCACGGCGAGACTTCGTCCTCGCCAATCCACAGCGCTCCTCTTCTTCCCTCTCCTATCCCAGAATTCTGGCTGTCATCAGGGGAGCCCCGTTCAGGCTGCTCATATGAGGCAAACTCGTCCCACACCAACGTTTGCAGTAGATGGACCATCATTCGCAGGCTGATCAGTGCGAGCAGATGCACGGTACTCTCGCAACGGCAGGCACGGCACTGGTGAAGCCGGGATAGCGACGCCGCAACCTCGCTGTCCATGCGTAACACGCTGTCAAGAGCTAAAGGCTGGCTCCTTCCGTGCTGTTTCTGTTTGGCGGTCCACAGCGAAACAATGCACCGTGACACGGTCGAGACGCATTCGCAGTAGCCGCCTCCGTTACCACCACCACCTCTTCCTTCATGTCCTCCCGCTACAGATATGCTAGGCTCTTGCTCGTTCAGAGAGCGTGGATGGGGACGATCGGCTGATGCTGGGGATGACGATGAGATGATGAACGGCCCTTCGCCGTCTTCATCCTCGCCATTTGCCGCTTTCTCGCCCAGAAAGCCACCGCCGAAACCATAGGTCATGGAGAGCTGACTAAGCGTTGCGGTTGCAGTGTCGGGAGAACTCAGCGGGAGAGCACCGGCATCCCAACGGATGCCCAGGTAAGAGGGCGAGGATACTTGGGAAAGACGTGTGCCTTGGCGGAGTGACGGCCGGTCCTCCCCATCCATCCATGTCATGTCAGAGGCCGAATAGGACAGCGCCAAATCGTCCACCATCTGATCGCTCTCTGCTTGTATCGACGGGATGATTTCATCTTGCTGGACAGGCGCCGCCGTTTCGAGAAGCTGATCGGAGCCAGAGCTGATATTCTGGCGTTGTTCACTACCCGGCGGCGGCCGGTGCGCTTCGTCTGAGAACCGCGGGAGGTCCTGTTCTTGGTTCGCGACCATTGTTGTCGGAATTGTAGGAAAAGGATGCATAGAAGATCCGAACCAATTCTCGTAGACGGACGCTGAGATGGGCCGTTGGGACGCGAATGAGCATGACATAGCTTGCAACAATGAAGGCATGTCCAGTTCGAAGTATCGAGACAAGTCGTCAAAGTGCAAAGGGTCCGCCACGGAGTGACGCCGGGATTCACCGCTGGTGGCAATCGTCCCGCCTCTAGATGAAGGCACGTACGAGACCACTGGGTAAGGAGCTAGCTCAGGTTCATCGCCGGCAAGTAGATTCGGAGAGCTCCAGGGAAGGGGTCTCTGGCTAAGCTCGTCCGGTACCGCGTATACTTCGCCGTCGTTCCATCCGTCCCGCTGCAGGGAGGTCGGGATAGCTGCTGCTTCTGCCCCAGCTTCTGCCGCCGCCGTCGTGAGATTCAATGCGGCACACCCAACAGTTGAGGCCGGGGTAGGTGAACTGGGCGTGATATTGGCATTGTCGTCGTCGCCCAAGGGTCCAAGGTTGGTCTGCCTCCCGGAAGAGTCTGCGACGCCGCCCTGGTTCTTCGGCATAGGACGGCCCATACGGCGGGAGAGGCTGTAGATGCACTGTAGCATGTGCACCGAACACCTGCGGCATGGCTTCCCTTGTCCACACTTTACTTTGGCCGTTTGGCAGTTGTCGCATGACGTTCGGTACTTTGGCTTTCTGTGAACCGAGGTCAAGGAATGGCCCGGGCCGTCGTGCCGCCGTGCCATGGTCGGAGGGGTGCTTCGGGATGGAGTGAACCTTCTGGCAAGAGGCCGAGGGCGATAGCAAGGTCTTCCAGGTGGTGCTAGCAGCACACCACCATTGAATGAATACTCGGTTTCCTACCTTATAGGGCGATTCTTTTCGCTCATTTACAATCATACTGCCGGAACGGGAGTTGTCTCAGCTTGAGACTTGATTTCTGACTGCTTCTTGTGGTATACGCGGAAGCCCGGAAACGCAATGCAAAGGTGCCGTTTGAGCGGGACGACTCGCAGTGCCTCGCTGTCGATTGGAGCTGAAAATGTCTCGGTGCCGGAGATGGTGAGACCTGTGTAACTTTGAGAGAAGAACACGGTGTTGTCTGCGGGTCCAGAACTCATCCAAGAAGCCGGAAACGTATCTCCACTGCAGGGTTGTACTACCTGAACCCGTTTCTGGACGTCCTTGGGAACTCGAAGCGCGGTAGCCGGCCTCAAAGGCTAAGGGCCGCCAACCTCAAGGGATAAGGCAGAGGCATGTTGACGTGAAGGATGTTCTGGTGTTCTCTTTGCGATGTTTAAAAATATATACCTTGATGGCAATGATGCTCCTTGATAGGAAACCTGTGGCAAAGAGCCATGCCTTTCTTGTGTCCACGGCTTTCTCCGAGTCTGCAGTCGGCTCAAGCGCCACTAAGACGACTGCACTGGCACTCCTGAGCCTGGTCCCGTCGTTCTCAAAGAGGCCCCGCTTCTCCCAACGGCTGGCAATCGGCCTCACGTACGTGATCATGAATGGGTCCTTGGCGGCTGGATCTTTCGCTGGATACTGCTGAGATCGACAGCGCGGGCCAGATCTGCTTCGAGGAATCTACTTCGGTTGTCACCCGGAGTGGCGTAGGGATCGGCAAAGCAGCTCGGGTTATCAGCGACGTGGTCGATCTCGACGGATTTACTTACCGTAATACTGCCGTTGGCGTCGGCCGGGATTGGACCAATATGAAGCACTCCACTAGTGTAACTCGAGATGACCATCTCCCACTCTGACCGACCATAACTGAGACTGTTGCTGTTGTATACATCGAACAAAGCAACACGGGTAGTTACGCCGGCAGAGGGATCTGATGCCGCCAACGAGGCGAGCCGGACACGCACCACCTCGGTCCACTTGACACCCGAACGGGGGTTCCTCGAAGGTGCGCATCAACCCATAGTAGCGGTGGCGGTGGTTGTCACGTAGATCGAGGCGGGGCTCTCGGCGGAAATGTCGTTCGACATCCTAATGAGCGGATGCCAGACAGATCGAAGTCGCTTGGTGGATGTGGATCCGAGGACGTGGTGGAAGATCTCGAGCGGCGAGCGGGTGTGCGGTCCCTTGCCCCGGACGGCTACATCTCGGGGACATAGTTGCCGGCGAAGATGTACACAACTTCTCCGTCGGTGCTCTGCTTGTTGGAGATTATATAGATTCCGTAAATGATGAAGGGCCTTCAAAAATTTTCGAATTTGAGTCTCTGTAACAGTATAGTCTGGCATATGTTAGCAAATTGTACCGTAGCTTTCTCGGGCGAATAAATGCGTTTAGGTCAACCACATACATAGACGGAGCCTCGGCTTTTACCGGTAGCTCGGGATCGTCAAAATTAGTCAGTGGACGGAACCACTTGAACCTCGTTTCGGCGTTGTCCTCGCAAGCCGTAGACAGGGTGCCGCTAGGGGGTAGTAATGGAGGTCCTCGCAATTGAGTGTGTCTGGGATATCAACAAACTCCTCGCCCTTGGCCGCGGCGGCGCCAGGATATCTGCGGAGGGCACCAAGCACGGTCAGTCTACGACGGAGAGAGGGCCCTACAGCATAGAGCAGGTAGGCGAGGACGGCCCTAAGGAGGAAGAGTGGCAACGATCTCATGGCCGCTTATTCCAGAGTCAATGTGTAGGGTGATTGTGTAGAGAGAGCGTTCCTCGTTAGCATTCTAGCAAAGGCGTACTTAAATCACGGTCAGACGTTATTGAGAGTGGTCTGGGCTGAGTGAACCTCGGCCTATGATCTGGCGGGGTATCTAGCCCCAGACCGTATAGGGGGTAGGTCTGGGTAGTTCTGGGTCGACGAGGGCTAATGACGCTGGCGTGTTATCATCATCCTTCGAGAAAGGCTCGGATGACCTTAATGAGCCCACCGTATGGGCTCTCAGTCATTCATCTTGCCGTGGTCGGAGTTTTGATAATCTCATGGTGTCTCTGAGGCACTGTAGCCAAGCCAAGACTTGATCTACCAAGGCGTCGTCGGCAGTCAAAATAAGTTCTGACAGGGCGGGGAAACTCTTCAAGACCGGAAAACTGAGAACCAGGAGGCGTGATGCTTTTATGGAATCACGAGTCATCACAGTAAAGTTGCCAAGACAGAGAGTCGGTGAAGATGCCATCTGCGGTGTGAGGTGTGTGAAGCCGCTCGGCCCACCAAGGTTGTGCTCGGTGACACCACAGCGAGCCCCAGTTGCTCGCTTGAGCTCATCCATGCACTACCGTCCTTTCCGTTCCCAACTGCTCGTAGAACTCAATATTTTGACCAACTTTAAATTTCAACAACGTGGAAAAAAAAAAAAAGGAAAGAGTGAAACTTCGTGTGTTGTTCAATCGTTGCTCTCGAGCTTATAGCTCACCCCACCCACGCCGATAAGGTTGGCAACAGAAGGCGATGGCGCTACGGCACCTGTGAGGACGACCCTGCCATCCCTTTCTCTCGCGTTATCGTACACCAGCACTATTCTTTGTCTGCTGCCCGGCGACGAGCGCTCAATACGTCGCTGCTGTAGACCTATCGCCGAGCATAAGTCTTACCGCTCCGATATGGTCCCATCTCCCAGGGCTAAGGCGCCGTAGGCTTCTAGAAGGAATCCTTGTCCAAGGCGTTGCCGACCCGACCAGCCGTGCCGTTACAGTAACGTCTAGTTGGATACCCGTTTCCATGCTTTGACAAAAGCTGATTTAGACGTTCTGCTTCCTACATTTCAACTCCTTTGGATCAGTGATGTGCCAACACGGATACCTATCCACACCGAAGAACACCGATTTCGCGACTAGAGGAGGGTTGCCTCTTTGACTCCAACCAAAAATCTTGTGCCTTCTGGTACTTTAATTACCTCGCTCTTCTGATGATGGCATGCATGCCCTCCATGTCTCAAACTTCGGCGATTGGTCTTATCTGTCAAAAACGCAACCATCGTGACATCAAATGTGGGGTTATTATTATTCCTACGCCGCTGTGCCCTAGGGCGTGCCGGACCTTCAACAACTTACTATACAGGAAAACCGCGCCCTCTTGGGCCGGGTGAAAAACCCATATCGACAATCAAGGAAACGATCAGTGTG